CTCTTGCAGGAGCACGTGTCAGCAGCCGGCGGCCTGGAGCGGCCCCGGCTGTGAGACAAGGGAGCACTTAAAGCAGCCGCCGCCCCCCCCCCCCCCGCCGAGGCCGACCGCTGCCCTGCTGAGCCTCACCAGGTATCAACCTCACCGCACATCACTGGGTGGCACAATCACGTACGTAGTTGGCACTGGGTACAGGAAATCTGCACAATGTATGGGCTAGACCCTCCCAAGGTCAGATGGGAGATTTCACAGAAGATCATGACAAATACAGGCCTAAGATCTTGAGGGACTTCCAGATCCAGACATACAGGTAGGTACCGGCCAATCAACCAGACATTGTGGTAGTAGACAAGGGCCAGAAGACAACGCTGGTGATAAGCTGTAGCAGTGCCAAGTGACGGCAACCTCAGGAAGCAGGAAAAGGACCAGGGCCTGAAGAAGGAACTAGAGAAGATGTGGGAAGTATGGGCCAAAGCCCCCCCAGGGATGGTAGGAGCACTCAAGAGTTGTGTTTCCTAAGCTAGGAAAGTGACTCCCAACAGATGCCAGGAAGAACATTGGCGTTCTCTGTCCAAAATAGTGCAGTTCTAGGAACAGCTGAGATGCTCTACAAAGCCCTCAAAACTCCCAGGCTTCTGGTAGAGAACCCAAGATGGAGAAAGGCACAGACCACCCACTAGGGTGAGGTGGGATTTTATACCTCATACATAACATGTCTTTTAAAATTATTTATTCCATTTATATGGCCACCATCTCTATACAGGTGGTTGTATCGGTTGAGTTTGGTAGGGTTTGAATTTGGAAAACCTTTTCTTCAGCTGCTCCTTGGTAAAGTACGAAGACATCAATTTACAGCAGGATTTGGTCTATCTTTAGCTTCGGTTCACTGGTAAATTGCTAAACTCAGAACTTTAAAACTGGCTAGAGGACTTTGAAATGTAAACTCTGACGTGGCCATTGACTCAGCATTTCCATCTCTCTTGCCTAACCTTCCCGTATAATAACCTTCGTAATCGTTCTTTCAATCTGGACTTTGAGCTTTGACTCACTTGTTTTGATTAATGGGATTGCACATCCTTTCAAGTTGAGGTCTGAAAAAGATTCGTCAAACCAGACCGGCTTGTAAGTAAGTGGCTGATGGCTCACTGTGTACTGCATAGCCAATCATTTGAGATGCAATCAGTAAATTGTGGTTCAACTCAGCTAAGCAAAATTAACCAAATGGAAATCATTAAAAATGTCCGTCATTCAGTATTTAAAATCAATTTTTGGGAAAATCAAAACAACAAATGGTTACTTGCTATGTACCAGTTCAAGTGACGATGCGTTTAAGTCCCTGATTTTACTTAGGTGGAGAAAAAGTCCAGTCCAGGACTCTCTTGGAGGCCCTGATACCATGATGGGCCATTTAACCAATGATGGCAGGGACTCTGGGTTGCTATCCTTACATGCAAGATTTCCAAATTCTATGGTGTGTTTGAAGACTGAGGTCCTTAAATACATCTCACCTGTTTTAAGAATCATGTTTGGCATGTTTCAAAATCTGGTTCAGAAGCCTGTTTGTTTATTTATTTTGTCACTAGAGTAGTGTTTCTTAGTCTTGGCAACTTTAAGATGTATGAACTTCAACTTCCAGAATTTCCCAGCCAACTTTGAGTCCTGTAGACTTTGACTTCTAGAGTTCCCTGGCCAATTTTAAGATATATGGACTGACTCCCATAATTCCCCAGCATACTGAATTCTGAAGTCCACACATCTTAAGCTGCTGGAGTGGAGAAATAGGAACCAAGGACTACCATCTGCTGATAGTATCCTCCCTTCTCCCTTGCTCTTTTTCTCCTTTCCCCCTTCAGCTGCCAGTGTCCTCCATCTTCCTTATCAAAGAAAATACAACATTGGAGAAGGACACAGGAACCATTTCTTTAACCAGTGCAACAAAATAAGAGCATCATCCAGGGAACGTGTCCTGCTCTCCCATCTAATGAGAAAGCTTTGCCATTACCCTGTCCACATAAAGAATCAAAATCTTAACAATTACTCCCCCAAAACAAGAGCTGGAACAAAGAGCTTCTCAAAATTCTGTATCAAATATAGGGGCAGGCAGGATATTCTATGTCAGCGGTGTCAAAACTCAGTTTCATTTCATTCATTTCTGTCATTAAGGTTGTGTTTGACCCGGGGGGGGAGGGTGTGTGTGGCCAGCTTGATGTCACTTGTGTCAGGGGTAGCTGTGACGGCCCGAGTGTCTGCCAGTGAAAATGTGGCCCTCCCGATCTCTATTTTCGGCTGGGATGGCCTCTTGCAATCCTCTGCCAGCAAAAACAGAGCTTGGGAGGCCCGTATGCGGCCCTCCCGAACTTCGTTTTCACTGGCAGAGAGTTGCAGGAGGCTGTCCCAGCTGAAAACGGAGATCGGGAGCCCATTTTTGCTAGCAAAGGCATTGTGGGCTGGTCCTTCATTGTTTTCAAGGCAGCACCACAGACCAGATCTAAGCACCTCCGTGAGGCAGATCTGGCCTGCGGACCTTGAGGTTGACACGCCTGGTCTATATGGAGATGGTACAAAAAAGTCAAGATGGCCACCACCACCATGCAACCAAAGCCCCACCCTCTTTTAAAATGCATATTAAAATAGGCGGGGCTCTGATGACCTGCCCTTTGACTCCATCTTCACTGTTTGGGGCTCCTTCAGGCCAAGGAATGGAGAGATTTCTCTGGCGTTTCTTTTATCCAACCCAATGAAAATTGGGTCCGGAGAAAAACGAAGGATTTCTCAGTCCAGCATGAAGTAAAAAGCATGTAAAAGTGGCCTCTAGTCCAGCAAGCAAGGAGGCCAGGAGGAGATGCTTGGTAGGACATAAATGGTACATTGTTGACCTGGTCCTCAGAGGAGATATGTCGTGACTGAAGCACAGATGGGTTTAAACAGTCTCAAGGAGGGAGCGTACCAAAAGATTCACAAAAGAAAAACCAAAACGAGTTAATTCACAAACCTCAAATACCAGGAAATTAGTACAGAAAATCCTAGAGCAGATCCTTGACCGGCTGCAAGCCGCTTCCCTGCTTAGGAGACTGAAGGCCAATGTTGACTGGAGCCCAGCCAGTTTCACCACAGACTAAGGAGCCCATCCCACATAGGGCAATCCAGTTCCAAACATAAGGATGCTGTGGGACAGAATGTGTGAATCCATCCACGTCGGACACTCCTTTGTTCCTGTTTGATTTCCAAGGAGACAGCTGGGTGGGCCGTTCTTCTAAGCAGCTAGATCCTTTTATACCGGTAGATGTGATAGCGGCAACACGGACAATAATGATCGACGTCCTTACAGCATTTGGACATGAAGGGGATGAGACAGCAGCCCAGGCAGCACCTGAGAGCCACGTAAGAAAATAAAAAGACAGACCATGGCTTGAAAAGGGTTTTCTTATGGCTTGAAGGTAATGCCAAAAAATTACACCAAGAATTCCATTTCAAAATTGTATAGACGAGTGATGGCTAACCATTTTGCTTTCGCAGTACAAAAGCAGGGAGCATGCGCGGGTGTGCCCACACCCATAATTCTATGCATGTGCCCCCTACCTCTCACATGCACGCGCGACCTCCCCCCGCTTTTGGCACGTGATGGATCTGTTTTTCACCCTCCCAAGCCTCCAGAGGCATTCTAGGAGCCTGGGGAGGGCAAAAATAGCCTCCCCCTCCCCTCCCAGAGGCCCTCTGGAGGCTTCAGGGGCTTCCCTGAAACCTCTGGAGGGTGAAAAACGCCCCTATGGGCAACCCGGAAGTCCGTTCCCGAACTTCCACTTTGCCTGTTAGGTTGTTTTTCGCCCTCTGGAGGCTTCAGGAAAGAAAAATGGCCGAAAATGCGCTCTGGAGCTGACAGGACAACACCTCGCATTCCCTAACAAATGCCTCTGTGTGGCACCTGTGGCATGCATGCCATAGGTTCACCATCACGGGTATAGACCAACCATTATCCATTCTGGCGCAAGCAATTCCTAATGATTCAGCAGGACGAGAGTGGAAAATGCCTCCCAAAATGTCAAACTAGAAATACAGAATTACTATCTGTCAACCAACCCCAGCAACTGTAGACCAGGGGTCTCCAAACTTGGCAACTTTCTTGTGAACTTCAACTCCCAGAATTCCTCAACCAGCCATGCCGACTATGGAATTCTGTGAGTTGAAGTCCAGAACTCTTAAAAGTAGCAAAGTTTGGAAGCCCCTGCTCTAGACCTTAGACAGTGGACCCTCAGATTCCAAGTGTCCAGTCTTTGATTGCAGTCCCAGTCCTGGTTGGAGAAGGCAGTCTGAGATTTTATTGTAAAAATATGTCACTCTTGAAGAACCACCCATTTTGGCAGATTTGTCGCTCATGGAAATGTTAAGATAGGTTGACTTCTACTCCCAGAATTCCCCAGTCAGCCTGCTCCAGACCCTCCCCTCCAACTCAGCGGGCGAGAAAATGTTGGGTCTGTTTGTCTACTCTCACATACTAATGAATTCCCAAATGTAAAGCCACAAAGCATATGGACACTCACCCAATCAAACACAGGCATGTCGAGGCGGCATAGGTTAGGCACCCCACACGGAAGACCACCTCGGTGGTGATGATCTGTCGGCAACAGGGGCAGATGGTGGATGCAGGTTTACTGGAGAAGATCCCGGCCACCACAACAGGTGGAGATGAGTCCATGCAAACTGTGGGGCAGAGAAGGGAGAGACATCAATGTGTATTTCATCTCTCACACCCAGAGCTTTTCAGTGTAGGCAGAAATCTCTTCTGGACAGCCATTTGCCTGCAATTTGGCAGTTTGAATCTCTCCAAGCTCAAAGTTGACTCCGCCTTCCACCTTTCCAAGATGGGTCAAATGAGGACCCAGATTGTTAGGAGCAATAGGCGGCCTCTGTAAACCGCTTAGAGAGGGCTGTAAAAGCACTATAAAGTGGTACATGTCTAAGTGCTATTGCTAGTCCTTTCCTTCCTTCCGTCTTTCCTTCCTTCCATCCATCCATCCATGATGTGCAGTGGTAAGAATGCAATATTGCAGGCTGACTGCCCACTGCTAGGAGTTTGATCCTGACCAGCTCAAGGTTGACTCAGCCTACCATCCTTCGGGGGTGGGTAAAATGAGGACCCAGATTGTTGGGGGAAAGAAGCTGACCCTGTAAACTGCTTAGAGAGGGCTGTAAAGCACTGTAAAGCAGGATATAAATCTAATTGCTATTGCTATATACTGTAAGCCTAAGCCACTGGAATCATTAGGCAGGCAGGTAGCCTGCCTTGACTATTCAGCCAGTTTGCAGAAGTCCAGAAAGAGTTAACCAACAGTTCTCCTGAGATGCGAACCAGTTGAATTCCACCACTGCATCAGCCCATAAATCGAGACAGCTCAGCAAACCCCAGGAAGAATAAAAAACAAGCAAAAAGCTTTGAAAGATTCTCCCGGTAATGAGGTTGAAAGCTCCTTTTTTTTTCCTGGGAAAGATGGCTTTGTGAAAAGATCTCCCGGGAAGAAGCTTTTTCTCCATCCCTTTCCCTAAGATCTTTTATCTTAGTCGGGCAATTTAAACCACCCCTGTCCTTGGGACCTGACTTTGATTGCCTTGGGTCCCTGCCCATCTCTCAGGCAGTTCCACATAGATGCTTTGCTTTTGTCTGCCCTTAAATACTTTGATAAAAGGCTTTTGGTTACAAAGAGCAAGTGAGATGCATCATTTCTATTTACACAAATGCTTCTGGGCCTCCTAGAGACTCCGCCAGCACTCTTAAAACAGAAACACCTTGAAGGAGTTCAGTTCCTTGGAACACCAGTAAAGAGAGCAACTTTGTCTCATACATGTCCTTGTAATTAAATGGGCACCCTGTCATTTGCTGCACTCCTGTCACTAACATTTGCAGAGCTCTTCCTGGTCCTTGGTCAGCATTCCAATCCTCACCTTTGGGCCCTCTGACTTTCAGCTTTAGATCCTGGAGGAGAATCTTAAGAGCCTTAAGCAGGAAATTCAGGGAAACATGGACGTTGTTCTCCCCGGGTATTGGTCTACTGTGAGATCTTAGGTGTCCAGAATAAGCCATGACTGCATCATAAACATGAATAGTGGCAACCCACTTTGTCTATCTGCAAATGGCCATAAATGAGACCTCTTGTATTTTCTGGACTATCCCTCTGTTGATCTGTTTCTGTCTCTGTCTTTCTCTATCTCTCTATCTACAGTATCATCTGTTTGTCTGTCTATATCTATCTGCCTCTCATCTCTTCTCTCTCTCTCTCACTCACTCACTCACTCACTCACTCACTCACTCTTTCTCAAAATCTCACATATTTATATATCTATCATCTTTATCCATCCATCCATCTATACATCTTCTCTCTCTCACCTACTTGTCTC